AGAGCAAAGCGATACACGACGCGGGAAAATACGCGAATAAATTCCGTCAAACCGAGTTTTCGCTCAAAGTCACTCGAACCTTCCCCGTTAGACCAAATAATTCGGGGTAAACGCGGCGGAGAAACGCGAATGAGAGGCTGATGCGGGATTGCGAGCGGATCACGCGGTCGTTATTACAAGCTTGGATCGATGATCGAAGTGAAGGATATTTTTTTTGTCCGCGAATATATCACCGTGGAGATATGATCGGGAGCTGGCCAGAAATACGTACATCTCCCTCGGCAAGTTCTGCTTGAATTATTGGCGAAACCGATGCAACTCTGCCGATTAAGCTCCGTTTCTATCGAGAAACTCGGCTCACGCCACGGGATAAGAGGTTGCTTTAACGGGTCGTGATTAATCGCGTATGGAGGCAGGAAATTATCAGTTTTCCGCGATGTATCGTGCGGGGTGACTATTGAGAAGCATCGAGTTCAGAATAGTTGGAACATCGACGTGGAAGATCGAAAGGGATCCGCGAAGATACGTTCAGGGGATACGCAAACTTTATCGCGATTCGCACCGTTCGATGCTTCTTTCTTCCCTCCTTTTTTTCCCCCTTTTCCGCCGTTCTTTTTTTCTCCCTTTTTCCCGTCGACGAATTATCGAACGTGCCTCGTCGGAGAAATTGAATCTCCCCTTTCTTTTCGTAACGCACTATTGTGCCAGCGCTAATGGAAAAACGAGTCGACTCGAAAATGTAGACATTTTCTGCATGGCGGATTAACCGTGAAATAAATCTCGCGAGCTGCGGCGATGACGTCAACGGGTGAAATTTTTCATCGGAGCAGCAAGGACATTGTCCTGTGGAAAAATAAGAATGAATTAACTCCGCGAACCGGAAAGAGGAGCGCAGGTGACCGTGTATATTTAGCAGAGTGCTTCTAACTTTGACGGGGCGCCTTCAACTTGTTATTTTCAATCTCAAAGCGTTCCAGAGGCCGGTGTGTCCAGGCTTCTCTTTCGCAAATCGATTTTATCACGGCACGTAATTACTCGCTCGTGAATCGCGCGGACGCCGAAACTCGAGCGTTAACGAGCGGCTGGGAATCGAGGGAAAAATTACAAGCGGAAAATGTCCGCCGGGTCGGAATTAAATTGAAAATATACCGGGCGAAACATCGAGACGTCGAATACTAGAAATCGGGGCTGGAAAAGCTGAACGCGGAGGACAGCGGGAAGAATGCAGGCTAACCTGCAGGCCGGTTGCATTGTGTTTATTTTTGGCTCGTGACAAAAAGCTCGTTGCGCGTATGCACAGGTAAAGCGGTCGCTTCTGCGAGGCCGAAAATTTCGGCCAATTTTTTACACCGTCAGGACGGTACGCTCGAAACCACCGACTCTGCTCGAGCGTTCGCGTCCCGGTGACTTTTGCCACGTGAGTATTTTTATCGCGGCAATTATGCAAAAAGGAACGAGTTCGTCCGATGATCGTGGACCAGAAAGGGATCATCGTTCACGCGTTGCAGCGTGTCGCGGTCTTTCTTTATTTTTAGCACAAAAGCGAGCGGACAGCCGGTGGCTCTAACGAAGCCGACGCCTCGCAGCAACGATTACTCTTCAATCCGTTGTCCCGCGCGTTCACCATTTTTGTCGCCGGCTGCTACCGGCAGAACGGAAAGGAGAGCAAATAGGGACCGGTTACCGCTAATTACTTGACTTCTCACCGTAGTGCCACGCGTTAAATGGCCGCCCTTCTATTTGCACAGCTTCATTGATCCGTCAGCCAAAATGGGCACCGCTCTCTGCTCGTCTTTCCTTCAGTTTTTCTCCTTTTCCCTGCTTTTTAGATTTTCGCTGCGAGCTCCAGGACGTGGGCGAGCGTTATCGATCGACCCGCAAACATTTGTCATTTTTATTGCCAGGCATTAGTGTAGAAACGTGTCCTTCCGGACATCGGGGGGATCGAAACGGGAATGGTCGAGCCGTGCGATCACGGCGAATTTTGTTTTCCGATTAATTTACTGGGGAAATCGGAGGGGGCTTGGAAGTTGCCTAAAATTTGAGAGTAAAACAAACAAGCTGGTCGATGGTGCGTTGCACGGCCAATATATACCGATCTGTCGTGTACATTGAAAGTACAACGATCTATTTAATGTTCCAAACTGCCATTAATCTGTGGAAAACCGTGGAGTTATTGGAATTTCATTTTGTCCTCGGAAATATGCATCACGCGCGAACCAAACGACAGGGACTCGGGGTTACGCTATTATCAGCGACCGATGATTCGATGTGGTTATGTAAATCTGGTTATCGGAGGGAAAAATCAGAGAAGAGGTACGTAATTCCATTGGAAATTACAATCGCGAGACGGGTACTTATTATACCCTCACGAGTGGATTATGGCCACCTTCAATGGCCCGATTGTCGACGACGCCGGCCCGATAGGGATAACAAAGCTCTGCCGTCAGATTATCGGTAACATCGGGTCAAAAGCGGCGCCTTGAACGCTTGATTCGCTGCTGATAAAATTCACCGGAGGGTGAAAGCTGTCTAATTGATCGACCTTCTTCCGGTCGCATTAATTGGAGGATATCGACGATCCGGTCGGGCGACTTTCGCGCGCTGAAAAATTATTTCCATCGACACTTTTCCCGACAAGAAGCCAATTAAATCCGCTCTCGACAAGTACACCGAAATTCACCGCGAGGATAACCGCGAACCGTGAATCAAAACGATCGAAAAAGCACCGTGGAAACCGGGGACGCGAATCGGCAAGTAGTAGCTGACGTGATTGGTCAGACGAGCGAAGCGAGCAATTAAATTGCTTTTTAGAAAGTTTCCTCGCTGACAATTTTCTTGGAACCTTTTTCGCGATTTCTGGCACACGGCCGGAGAATGGTCGGAGAAGTACGGATGTGCTTTTTTAATCGAAAATTTTCGCGTCGGTTCTATACACGCTTCGAATATTCGTGTTTGCCAGGCACCGTTTACCCGATTTTTAATCGGACAGATATTAAAAAACTGATTAAACGAAAATATATTGGAAATTTCATGGCCGAAACCACGCGGTGTAAGAGAGTGTTTCGTATTTAGAGATTCATGTATTCCTTTGTCGTTGAACCTTTCTAAGTATTCGCTGCTCGACGGAACGTAATATTACAGTTAAGCCGGCGAAAGCTGCATTCGAGCTGGAAAAACGTAATTCTCGGGATTGCTCCCTGTCGATACATATATTCCAACGTCCCGTTTTAGTTATTTGTAGGTCAATCGAAGGAACCTCTTTCCTCTTGACGTTCGACGTGTAAGAATAATCGCCGATGAATCGATGGCGCGATTATCGTCTAATCTCTCACGTAACAAAATATTCCGCGAAAATAGCGAACCTTTCTCGTCGGGTTTCCATTTCCAGCTCGACAGGGCGATTTTACCTCGAAATTAGCGTTATTAACGAAAACCTCGGGCTTAGAAAATGGGACATCGGTGTAACTGGAAAGCCACGAGCCAGGCTTATAGCGAATATCGTCGAACGAATGTATAAGACCAGGAATGAACGTGGCTTCTTGTGTCAACGATTTAAACGTCGCGGGGATAAATCAATGATATGCAGAGTTAATGTTCAATTGAATTTCAACGATGTAACCGTCCAACGCAGAGTCGCGTTTGCAATGAGAACTATGGCACGATCATCATTCACCAGAATTCGATTGGCCAATCAGCCCGTGTTCCCAACAGCGACCATAACACTGGAGCAAATTTCAAACGAAAACTTTCCATCGTAATAAAAATATCCTGAAAATTAAATCGTGTCTGTCTACATTCGTGTGTGCATACGTGCTCGTGTATATTGCTGTTGCAGAATTTTTCTGCGTCTGACAGAAAGAATTGTATAAACGACGAAGTATGTGTCGGATTCCGGTAAAATTTAAATATTCTACGAATCCGTCAGATTAAACACGAGCTATTAACAAAGCGAAGCAATTAACTCCGGTTGCTGAATTTTTTAAAATTCGAGTGCCAAGTAGCTCTACTGGTGCTCGACTTTTTATATTCGAAATACTTCTCCACTTTTTGTTTTCTGGAATTCGTCGACTTGGCAAATGGGAGGTTCGTATACGAGGCAATCGAAATCAGCTGTCGTTGTTAAAAATTAAATTTCATTGTCCTCCATAACGTCGTCGCATCGCAACCACGTGTTTTCTCTTCACTCGAAATGGTTCGTAAAATCCGACAGCGTTGAGCCGTCTGCTCGAAAAAAAATAATTATTATTTCCGAGCGATGCAACTATCCCGTCCTTTGTGAATTTTCCGCGAAACCTCACGTTTCAGTCTCATTACGACGCGAAATTTTCCAGACCCTACGGGCCGTTTCCGCAATTGTATATCGCTGCTGGTAATGGTAAAAGTATCGGAAATCGGAAAGGAGATCCTTATTAAAACTTCCCGACTGTAGGAAATTCGGTCGGAAACGGCTGACAGGATTTTCCTCCGTGTTCAACGTAGTTTGTATTTTATAAAGGTTCCAACTTTCAGCCGGAATTTCATTTTTCCGCTGTCCTCTAAATCCGGTTGAATATTTGCCGCGTTATCGAACGTGATTAAAACACGACGGAAACACAATGTCTACGAAAGGACGAAGTACAGAAGCGAAGGAAGAAAAGGGAAAAGGCGATTCGAAAAGCACGTTGTGCTTTTGATACCTTCTCTCTGCTCGTGTCCACGAGACTAATCCGATCTATTTCCCCGGGAACGCGGAACGAAACGAACAAAACCTGCGTTGATCCGCGAGAGGGATGTTTTATATTTGTATATTTTCAAAGGGTGTCTTTCCCTTTCGGATCTCGAGCTACGATGCTTTCGCCTCTCGACGCTCGCAACGCGAGAACCTCGTTGAATTGTGTTTCGCGGGCTCCACTTGGACGGTTTTCAGCAGAAATACGGAATACGAGCCACGCATCGCGGAACAGATAACGTTGAAACGGTTATTGGGGGGAAAAAATATATCCGTCAAGCGTGACTGAAACAACCGTGCATATGGAAGAAAACATCGCGTCCGTGACCAGAGATATCGGCGAGAAGCGCTGCGGAATTTTCTACCTCTCGTTGCATTATTCGTGGATCGTACTACTGGTACCAATAGAATCGTCTCAATTTTTTCCCACATAGAGGGTAACATCGTCGTTACCCTGATGAATAAAACGCATCGTGGATCGCGTTTGGTACCGGAGGCATGTACGTTCTAATTAATACAAAGCGAGTAAAACTGATGCGGGAAAATTAGTCGCGAAATTTTCGCACATTCCGATACAAGTTACTTTCCGCGTCCCTATGACGGGCCGCGTTTGATCCGGCTTTCGAACACCTGTTAGCGAGCCATCGTCGTTCCATGAATATCACTATGCGAGTCCTTATCGACGTAATTTCGAAATTGAGCACCGGATTCTCCGCGTAATATCGTCCTTAATTCAAGTACGGTCAGCGAGCCAAGTCATCGATGCAAATTACTAAATACATACTCTGTTCCCCGAGAGTGTGCAGAGGCGGAGTATGAGAGGCCGCAAGTATGCGTATAATTATTTCATTTCTACATGTCGAACAGCCTTCCAGGCGTACCCCGGTTTCCACTCGAGCGAAAACTCGCGGGTATTGTTAACCGCGAGTCGGTGGGATCGTTTTCATTACGAGTAGTAGGAATTAATAAATTTCTGACACCAAGTAAGGGGGGAAGAGACGTCGGAGCACTATCGGGAGAAATAGTAACCCTGAAGTAAAGTAAACGAAGCGAGAATGTTCCGCGATTCGACTCACGAGTGAATTTTGATAATAAATCGAGTAATAAAATCGGGACGAGCAGAGGGAATCTCGTTTGCATAATTTGGCGTGATTAATACGCGCGACTCGAGGAGCCCGGTACCTCGGCTCGATCGCGTAACGGGATGGGGGTAGGAAATTAAGGACCATGATTCACGATGTGCCAGAGAAAGCAGAGAAAACACACAGATGTTTGATTTGGTTTTTCAGGTTTAATAGCGACGACGGACGAGAGTAAACATGTAGACCGAGGAGGAGCGCGAGGCAACGAAAAATGGTGGACAGGGAGGAAATAGCGAAGACACCCTCGCCCCTGAATATCAACGAGGCAATCGAGGGAGAGGTGTTGAATCAAAAGACTGCACGGAGTAAGTAAAAGGAAATGAAAAGAGACAGAATCACTCGGGAAAATTCGTTTTCCTTGTTCGCGTTAACTTCCCGTCCGATCGAGACTTGCGAGTAAAGAAGAGCTGTAAATTAAGTTTCTCTTCCTCTCGACCTTCGTCTTCGTTTTCGTTAAACGAATAAATTTTGATGGACTTCGACACGCTTCTATCTGTCCGCGTCGATTCCGGCGCGAGAAAACTGGTCTTTAGAAGCTGCGTGAAAGAAAATTCGAAACGAAAGATAGCTAAGAGGGATGTTTAAAAAGGAGCACGGGAGATGAGGAAGAAAGTATACGAAATATTTACGACTCGCTTTGAACGCGATTCTCGGTAAATATTGTTCTTCCCTGCGAGTGCTTTTAATGGAAGAAGCTGATTAAAAACTTCCCGTTCGCCAGGGCTTAAGAACGATCTTCTGTTATACGAGGCTGTGATAAAAAATGAAGCGGACACCGTTCGCAAAGTGCTCAAGGAGGCTGTGGACGTGGATTCCAGGAACAATGTACGTAATAAACAATCGGCTAATACGATAATCGAATAGATTCCGCGCGAATAATCTCGGAAAGCTTGAATGGGACGCGCTGGAATCGCGTCAGACTTAATCTGGATGCGGTTGCCAATATAAAATCGAGTTTCTCAGTCGCGAGACGGGAAATGGTACGCCTGCGAATAGAATCTTTCGCTTCACGCCACTTGGCTGATGTTAATGGTGTGCGAAACACTTTGCACGATCGAATACGTCGAAGAAAATGATGCGATTATCGCAATGGTACGCGAGTAAGTAGCGCGTCTGACTATATATCGGACGTTACTACTCGCGACTCCATCGCCGAAATGTCATCGATTTAATTAAGGAAATTTATCGTTTCTATTTGCGTTGCTGGCACTAAAATATTCCGATATTCTTAGGTGCAATTTTAATCAAACTCATCGACCGGCCGAGTACGCGATACTTTGCTAAAACGTGCAATTCCTTCTCGAGGGCTCACGGTCGCGTTGTTCCTTCAAGAGCATACGGTTAACGAAGGACTCTCGCGTTTCCTGCGCGTCGATTAATTATATTTACGCGACACGATATTAAATGGGACCATTCGAACCCGTTAGAGGGATGACCGAAAATTAAAATGCACAGCAAGTCCCGAATCGTGGCGTTAATTTAATATCGACGGAGAGGCTAG